ATTGCGATTACGTAAAAGTGACTTTAAAGACGAATTGGGGTCAACTGTATGTACTTTTATCATGACTTGTTTTGCTACAAATGACCCTGGATTTCTTGAGATAACTGAAACATCAATTATCGGTTGCGTCATTGATTTCACCAACCACTTTAGAAAATTTCCTTCCATCGGCTGTGAAAACTGGCAGTTTGCTCTGTCTACGTATGCTTCAGTGCAACTGCAGTTGAACTGGTATACAGTGAGTGAGACAGAACCGGTTTGCCAGCCATGGTTACGTTTGATGTTCAGTTGTTCGCCGAGCTTGGCCATTGTATCACAAACGTTTCTTCATCAATCAAAGTGACATTCTCGGTGCGCCATGTGTTGTGTTCATTGCGAATGTTATAGTGTTAATAACACAACGATTCCTGTGGAGAATTGGATCCGCCGACGTTTAGGTTAGTGTGGCTAACCTTTCTCAAACCAGGTTTTGCAATCAAATGACTCAGAGGAAAGGATCAAAAGTCATCGGATGTTTCGTCGCGCGTGTGTATGTGGTGTGGTTTGGTGAGTGTTTGTGAATTCGTGTGGTGGGCTGAATGATTCGTTGGCTGTCATTCTAACTCCCATTATCTGATGGGGTGAAATGGCACCGTGACCTTCGTCGTGATTACTCGTTAGTGATATTGGGACTCGGGATCTCGATTCCGTCGTTTCTGTTGACGCATGCAGAGTGGGTGCTAATGGTTAAAGCTTCGGCACGCGAGCTTTCAGAACTCCGAGTTGGAGAACTTTCGGGTTATCGTAGTCTATGGTGTGACCTTCGACTATGGCGTAATGGGCGATCACTGAATCTCATTCTATGATACTAGTCAAGTCAAGTCAAGGAATCGCTCTATACATCTCGAGAGATGGATATTCAGCGACCACGTAACCACAGTATGGCAACAAAAAGTGAAAAAACATTGTAATACAACAATGAAAAGACGTGAAAACGGACCGCAACATCAGAAACCAATGGCATACCCGGGTGTTTATGATTGATTTAGCTCAGTGTTTTGCCAGAGTTTGATTTTTCTCGATATTTCCGTTTTGAAGTAACTCCCACCTTCGGTAGTGGAAGACATTTACATCCTTTTTCTTGAACTCGTTATTTGGTACTCTCTGTTTTTCCACATGTATTCATCTAATAAATCAAAAACCTAAGATCTAAAGGCATTTGATTTGAGATTCTTAGTGCAACGATGTAATGACTCCAATGAACAAGCTAGTGTTTGCTTGACCTCAGTCTTTCGGACAATGAGCTGAGTCGGATCATGACTGTTCAATAGGGTCACCAAGATCAAGAACAAACTCCAATAATTGATTGAGGGGAAGCATATCCAAGCCCTTTTAAATGCGATGCAACAAGCTCTTAAAAGTCGTACGAACGATTGTTCTTCATCTCATCTTCATCTTCCTGTTGAGAAGGCACAGGGGCCGCGCCCCGTATGAGCCGCTATACCGCCGGTACCGCTAGCAACCCGCTCAGTGATCTGCAAGCTGCCACCTTCTCACCAAGTGCTCGTCGAGACGGCGTTTGAAACGCGCCTCATTCTGCTCCTCCACCACCGCCGACGGGAATGAATTCCAGAGTGAAGTCGCCCTC